ACCACTAGACCAGTAGTTCTCAACCTTTTTAATGCCGCGACCCCCAACCGGTCGTAAGTCGAGGACTACTCAACCGGTCGTAAGTCGAGGACTACTCAACTAGTGCAGCACCGTTTGCAGAATGGGACTTTTGACGGGCTCAGCAGGGCAGAGGCAGCCTGGACAATTCCTGTTGGCTTTTGAAAGCCAATACAATTAGACTCTATTCGAGAGAGTCTATTCTATTGCCTTTCAAAAGCCAATAGAATAAAAGGGAGTAGCACAGCTAAGGAAAAGGGGGGAAAAATGGCGGACTGCGTTGTTTGGCGATCCCCGTGAAATGGTCGTTCGACCCCAAATGGGGTCCCGACCCACAGGTTGAGAACCGCTGCACTAGACCAAACTGCTTCTCAGTTAATTGCAGATAGCTTTCCTTTCCTTCTGGCTGTGTCCACAGCAGGCTGCTGAGGGAAGGAAGTATTTTCCACGAAGCCCAGACTTGTGCAGCTTCAGACAACCTTGAAGACAGTGCCCATCACAAGCCACAACCTTATATTGGTTTTGCAAAATCGCCACCAGATGCGGGGAAAATATTCCGCTGAGCAAAACATTGACCAGAAGGTTAACAAATCCACCCTTTCTGATGGATTATTTGCTGCCAAGTCTGCGGAGACCACGAGAATAGATTTTCCACGCCAGGATTACATAGTTTAAGAATAAAATAAAAAGCACTTAGCCAATTTAAAGAGATATCCCCAAATAATTATTTGACACAGGTTTGGAATTCGCAAATGTTGAGGGTTGCTTGCATAAGTGGGTCTCTCTGCAAGTTGTGCTATGGTTTTTTTGTTGTTGTTTATTTAAATGTGGCCTCATTGCTTGTTATAACAATAGATTTCAAGCCTTAAAACAGCATTTTCTGCTATTCTGATGATAATAAAGAGTTTTTATTCCCAACCAGCTTTTTGGGGTTTAAATTGCTATTCAATGCTTGTCTTGAGACAGTCAGGCCTTGAATACTAAAGGATTATTTTTTTTCTTCTTTATAACTATCCATATTCCATTGTTGTTTCCTCTGCAGCTCATTGATTTGCTGGGTTTGCATATCAATTGCATGCTATTAATAGCGCTTTCTTAGTCATATGTTCTTCTGAGCATAGCTTGATCTAGGAAGGAAGAACTGATTTGATTCAATCTTTCCTAGTCTGGTGCTCTCTACATGGGTTAAAACTGCGGTTTCCAGTATTCTCCGTTGAAATGCCCAAAAGGAGTGACAGACTGCTAACAGAATATTTGAGGGCTGGACCGAGGCATCTTTGGGTGTTCTCTGAGTTGAGTTGTTTTCTTGCAGATGTTTCATTATCCAACTAGGTAACACCATCAGTGCTGAAAGGGAGTGGGGTTTGTGGGGAGGAAGAGGAGAGAGGAGAAGGAGGATGACAACGGCTATGGAATCCTTGATGCTCTCTGAGCTTTGTTGTTTTCTTGCAGACGTTTCATTACCCAACTAGGTAACGTCATCAGTGCTAGGAGAGAGTGGGGTTTGTGGAGAGGAGGAGGAAGAGGAGGAGGAGGAGAAGGAAGAGGAGGATGACAACGACTATGGAATCCTTGATGCTCTCTGAGCTTTGTTGTTTTCTTGCAGACATTTCATTACCCAACTAGGTAACGTCATCAGTGCTAGGAGGGAGTGGGGTTTGTGGAGAGGAGGAGGAGGAGGAGGAGGAGGAGAACAACTATGGAGTCCTTGATGCTCTCTGAGCTTGGTTGTTTTCTTGCAGACGTTTCATTACCCAACTAGGTAACGTCATCAGTGCTAGGAGGGAGTGGGGTTTGTGGAGAGGAGGAGGAGGAGGAGGAGGAGGAGGACAACTATGGAGTCCTTGATGCTCTCTGAGCTTGGTTGTTTTCTTGCAGACATTTCATTACCCAACTAGGTAACGTCATCAGTGCAAGAAGGGAGTGGGGTTTGTGGAGAAGAGGAGGAGGAGGATAACGACTATGGAGCCCTTGATGCTCTCTGAGCTGGGTTGTTTTCTTGCAGACGTTTCATTACCCAACTAGGTAACGTCATCAGTGCTAGCAGTTAGCGTTCTCAACCTTGACACTCTATAAGACACAGAAAGATCATGCACAGGAGTTGAGGAAAGGTAAGAAGTCATGGATTCGCAGGCGCAGGCAGACCCTGAATTTCTGAAACCTCCAGGGGAACGGAGACATTAAAACCCAAGCATGAACATTGGTCCCCATGTTCTCCTGGTTTTAACCCCAAACACAGGGCAGCCTCAGAATTCAGCCTGATGTTCCTTCGAAACCAGCACCCTCTTCAACTGCAAGGCTGAATATTAGCTAACATAGGGAGTGGTGTCATTAAAATGTGTATATCTCTACATGGGCATACCAGCTGAGGCGCGTGATCCCGTCTTTGTACATGTGCAGACCAGCTGAGACACGTGATCCCGTCTTTGTACATGTGCAGACCGTGAAGCATTTGAATGGGGCACTTGGCAAAACCAGCTGAGGCAGCAAAGCCGCCCTTCTCCGTGTGTTAAAACAGGCCCCTTCTGGGAAATGTTACGGCAGCTGCTTCCAAAGATTTCTCCAGGGCTCTGCACGTGTCCTCAGGATGCTGCTCATCCTCTCCACCACCTGTTCTCCTTGTTCCCTTCTGGAGGCTTCTGGTGGTACCCAAAGCAGAACCTCCAGATTCAGTCACCGTTTTGTTCCATGTAGCATCAGCCTTGGGAACTTTCAAGCTTCCTCTTTCGGCTACGTGCTAAAAATGAACAGTGATTGCTCCTCGAAGCACGAAGCCGAAAACCCCAGCCTGAAGATGACGAATGGGACTTCGTCGAAACGTCGCCAAGACACTTCCAATTTGATGCGGGAGAAAACCCGAATAACCAAAGACCTACATACAAACACCTGCGAAAACCTCAGAAAATACACACACACACACACACACACGCACACACACAGGGCTTTTTTTTGTCGTAGAACACCTTTTTTGGATGGAACCTTGTAGGGTAGGTGGGTTGTATGACAGGTGTGAGTTCTGGCACTTTTTTCCCCCACAAAAAAGCACTCTGTGTCTGTGTGTGTGTGTGTATCTGTTTTCTGAGGTTTTCGCGGGTGTTTGTATGTAGGTCTTTGGGTATTCGGGTTTTCTCCCGCGTAAAATTGGAAGTGTCTTGGAGACGTTTCGACGAAGTCCCATTCGTCATCTTCAGGCTGGTGTTTTCAGCTTCGTGCTTCGTGCTTGCATACATATATATGTATGCAAGTATGTATGTATGTATGCACGTGCATGGGTAGATATATACTTTCTTTTGAGAGCAGGCAACAGAATTTCATTTTTGATGTGGGCCAGTAAAAAAATGACACAATAAAGGTTATTTTATCCATCTTATCAAGTCTGGACATGCACAGGAGAGGAGAACATGGGAACCAGCTGTGCTCTCTGTGTTTTCTTGCAGATGTTTCATTACCCGACAAGGTAACATTATCAGTGCTAGAAGGGAGTGGGATTTGTGGAGAGGAAGAGGGGGAGGGAAGAGGAGGGGGAGGAGGACAACGACTATGGAGTCCTGGGTGCTCTCTGAGCTTGGTGGTTTTCTTGCAGATGTTTCATGACCCAACTATGTAACATCATCAGTGTTAGGAGGGAGTGGGGTTTGTGGACAGGAAGAGGAAGAGGGAGAAGGAGGAAGGCAATGAAGCCTAAATAAGAACTTTGAAAAAAAAAGGATATATAGTGATTTAACAAATCAACTTTTATAAATATAAGTGAAAAAGATGTTATGGGTAGATGTCATAAGATAGATAAGCAGTATAGTATTTTTATAACATATGAAATATGAAAATATTGGGGTGATGTATTTACATGGAAAATTTGGATATTTGGATGTTAAATGCTGAGAAAATTGTGACTGATAAGAATTGTTGGAATATTAAGGTTAATTAATTAAGCTTAGACAAGATTTATGAAAATAAGATATATAGTGGACCAATAAGATGATTTTTGTAAAAATAACACACGCTGATAAGGGGGGAAAAATGTCACATACGGACGCTCTTATCGTTGGTACAAATGTGGAAGAAAATGTTTATATATTTAATCATTTATGCATTGAAAATATTAAAAATTATATTTGTTTAAGGTTGAAGGAGAATACGATTAGGAGAAGAGGAGATCAAAGAAACATACTATTAATCAATATACTAATTATGGAAGTATAAAAATTAATTATTATTGACTGTTAATTTACTACTATTGACTGTGCGTTTTTTTCTAAAAAATGTATGAACCAAGACAATACGCTGTATACCAGGCACTAAGGGTTGTAAAAAAATGTTGTTGTTAGTTGCGAAGTCATGTCCGACCCATCGCGACCCCATGGACCACGTTCCTCCAGGCCTTCCTGTCCTCTACCATCTTCTGGAGTCCATTGAAGCTCACACCTGCTTCAGGGACTCCATCCAGCCATCTCATTCTCTGTCGTCCCCTTCTTCTATTGCCCTCCATCTTTCCCAGCATTAGGCCCTTCTCCAGTGAGTCCTTCCTTCTCATTAGGTAGCCAAAGTACTTGAGTTTCAACTTCAGGATCTGGCCTTCTAAAGAGCAGTCAGGGTTGATCTCCTCTAGGACTGACCAGTTGGATCGCCTTGCAGTCCAGGGGACTCGCAGGAGTCTTCACCACCGTAGTTCAAAGGCCTCAATTCTTTGGCGCTCAGCCTTTCTTGTGGTCCAGCTTTCACAGCCATACATTGCAACTGGAAAAACCATGGCCTTGACTATACGTACTTTTGTAAAAAAAAAAATAGTAAAACATTTAAAAAAGAAAGATACACTAAGAGAGCTTGCTTAAAAGAGTGGACTGTTTTTGCCCGGAGGGCCACAAGAGTGAACGGAGGCCTTGTTTTGATGAACGAAAGGCGGGGCCGCTCTCTACATGTCTGTTAATCCGTGACTTGATTTGGTTTTTATTTGATTTTATTTTCCTTTTTTTTTTTGCTTCCAGATTTATCAGCCGCTCGATGGGGATTTGCATCACCTCTTCACCTTTGTGTAGCCAGAAGAACGACTTCAGCACCTCTTCATTTATAATTATGAAACTGGTATTAACTGAATGGCAATTATGGATTTTTAACTCTAGATCCCAGTAAGCAAAAAGCAAAAAAAAAAAAAAAAAACCACGGAATCCAGCCAAGCCATATGTTGAAAATTTTCTTTCTTTCTACCAAATAAGTTGGATGTTCCTCTGAATGTTGGAAAGCCTTTGTGAAGATTCGATGCCAAAACCCGTTTTGCGCCCGAGGGGAATTACAAATACCGCTTGCACACGAAGGGACGGGACGCCATGAGGAGCAGCGGAAGGCACCCTAATTTATCGCTAGAGATGATAGAGTTATTTATATAGAGGTTTTAAAAAGAAAAAGAAAAGAAAAAAGGAAGAAGAAAAATAATAATAATAAATCTTATAGATATATCTAAAAAAAATATATGTATTTTTTATGGTGATAAAAATGGCTCCCCAGAATGCTGACTCAGAATCTATGCAAGTCCAAGAGCTTCCCGGCATTCAGCTCCAGAAACCCGGAAAGGAGCACGAGAGCAAAGAAGAGACTGTAAGCGAAGGATCCATAGACCGTATCCCGGTGCGGCTATGGGTGATGCACGGCGCCGTCATGTTTGGCAGAGAATTTTGTTACGCCATGGAGACAGCTTTGGTGACGCCAGTATTGTTACAAATTGGTAAGTCCAATTGGTGCCGGGCATCCTTAGGAGAGGGGTCCCTGGTGCTCTCTGAGCTGGGTTGTTTTCTTGCAGACGTTGCGTGACCCAACTAGGGAACATCATCAGTGCTAGAAGGAAGTGCGGTTTCTGGGGGGGGGAGAGGAGGAGGACTGTGGAGTCCTTGGTGCTCTCTTGGTGGTTTTCTTGCAGACGTTTCATGACCCAACTAGGTAACATCATCAGTGCTGGTAAGGAGTGGGGTTTGCGTAGAGGAGGAGGAGGAGGACTGTGGAGTCCTTGGTGCTCTCTGAGCTGGGTTGTTTTCTTGCAGATGTTTCATGACCCAACTAGGGAACATCATCAGTGCTAGAAGGGACTGGGTTTTATAGAGTTGAGAGGAGGATGAGGATGAGAACTGTGCGGTGCTTGGTGCTCTCCGAGCTTTGTTGTTTTCTTGCAGACATTCATGACCCAATTAGGTAACATCATCAGTGTGAGAAGGGAGTGGGTTTTGAGGAGGAGGAGGAGGAGGAGGAAGAGCGTGAGGTCCTTGGTGCTCTCTGAGCTTGGTTGTCTTCTTGCAGACGTTTCATTACCCAACTAGGTAACATTATCAGTGCTAGAAGGGAGTGGGATTTGTGGAGAGGAGCAGGAGGAGGACAACTGTGGAGTCCTTGGTGTTCTCTGAGCTTGGTTGTTTTCTTGCAGACGTTTCATGACCCAACTAGGGAACATCATCAGTACTAGATGACAATGGGGCTTGCTGTCTTTTTATATACTAAAGGAGATTTCTTGGTGCTCTGTGAACTTGGTGGTTTTCTTGCAGATTTTTAATTATCAGTGCCCTGATGATGCAAGAAAACCATGAAGTTCAGAGAGCACCAAGCACCCTTCATTTCAAATCTTCTCCTTCATTGGCATCATTGGGAGAGGTTGACAGGTTCCTGATCTTGAGATCCATGGAGCTTCTGGCCCTCCTGAAGCTTTCTCAGCTTTGATGAAAGGGGTAGCCCCAAAGCACCAGACACATGGTCATCGCTGTGCAAGATTACCCTTCAACCCAGAAGCATTGACGTGGTTGTGACGGGTCCCCCGCTTTGAGGTCCACAAAGCTCCTGGCCTTCTTGACGCATTCTTCACCTTGGTCAAAAGTGATACCCAAGAGGTATCTAACGTGTGGTCTTCTCACTACAAGGTTTGCTCTTCAGCTCGGAAACATGGGCGTTGTACATGATTGTGGGAGGCTGACAGATTCTTCACTTCTGGTCTTCACAAAGCTTCCGGTCTTCCTGAAGCATTCTCACCTTTGGTGAAAAGTAAAGCCGAGGACGATCTGCTATGTGGTCATCACTCTGTAGGGTTGCCCTTGTCATGAAATAGCAGGCATGGGGTTGTTTTCCAAGCTAGCGTGGTGGGATCCTGTAGGAAACCTGGTGCTGATGTCAACAACTCAAGTCAGCAAACATATCTAATTATGCTTCTTCCTCCTGTTTTCCCCATGACAAGAACCCCATGAGGGTGGTTGACCTGAAAGAGAGTGGTCCAAGATCACCCACTTGGCTTTTATGCCTAAAGTGGGACTAGAATTCACAGTCTCCTGGTGATTGGCCGATTGGCCGAAAGTCATCCAGCTGGCTTTCATGCCTAAAGCGGAACTAGTACTCTTAATCTCCTGGTGATTGATCCAAGGTCACCCAGCTGGCCTTCATGGCTAAGGCGGGACTACAATTCACAGTCTCCTGGTGATTGACACAAAGTCGCTCAGCCAACTTTTATGCCAGATGCGGGACTAGAACTCACTGCCACCTGGTGATTGGCCCAAAGTCACCCTGCTGACTTTCATGGCTAAGGCGGGACTAGAACTGCCAGTCTCCTGGTAATTGACACAAAGTTGCTCAGCCAACGTTTATGCCGGATGCGGGACTAGAACTCACTGTCTCCTGGTGATTGGCCCAAAGTCACCCCGCTGGCTTTCGTGGCTAAGGCGGGACTAGAACTCACTGTCACCTGGTGATTGACACAAAGTCGCTCAGCAACTTTTATGCCAGATGCAGGACTAGAACTTACTATCCCCTGGTGATTGGCCCAAAGTCACCCTGCTGACTTTCGTGGCTAAGGCGGGACTAGAACTCACTATCACCTGGTGATTGGTCCAAAGTCACCCTGCTGACTTTCGTGGCTAAGGCGGGACCAGAACTCACTGTCACCTGGTGATTGGTCCAAAGTCACCCTGCTGACTTTTGTGGCTAAGGCGGGACTAGAACTCACCATCTCCTGCTGTTTGGGGCAAAGTCACCAAAGTCAATTCTTTAAAGAGTTTGTGCTGAACAATCTCTTTTCTCCTTTTTTAATTTGTAGAAACAGTTCCATAGGTTTGTCTCCTAGAGAAACCAAGATGAAACATTGCCTTAGACCTCAGAGGCCTTTCCTTCTCTTAAAGAAAGCCAACAGCTGATAGGGAAAAGGTGTCACTCCAGATAACAAAGTACCACAGCTACTTTTTCCTCCCTCTCCTATCCGTGTAATGCTCTGTTGCTATCTCTCCAAAGAGATTACTCTTTCAAAACTACTGCAGTCCCAGTTCTTTTTTTTTTTTGTAAAGTTTTTTATTGATTTTTTTTCATATAATTCAATAGTACTTATTCAACAAACGTGTTGTTTGAGTTTATCATTCATGAATACAAATTTAATTCCTAATCCTTTATTCTTTTCTCCAGCTATTGATAAAATAAGTCCCAAGTTTGAAAGTATTCTGTTTCTTCTTTTTCTTTCAACCTCATAGTAAGTCTATCCATTTCCGCACATTCTAGTATTTTTTTTTTTTTAATTATCTCTTCCTCTGGTGGTGTTTCTTCCTTTTTCCAATATTGTGCAAATATGATTCTTTGCCGCTGTTATCCCATGTAAAATCAAATACATACTTTGTTTATCTATCTTTTCTGGCGTTATATCTAATAAAAAAAATGTTCAGGTTTAAAAATCTGCGTGCTTTCCCAACATCTTTTCTAGCCAAGTATGTATTTTTGTCCAGTACCTCTTTGCTTTAAAACATGTCCACTGTACATGATAATAAGTTTTTATTAACTTTGAAAATGGAAGATGAATAAGTTAAAGAAACAAATGATAAGATGGGCGAAAAATTTTGGATATAATATAGAATTAGAAGATGGCAAAGCTTATGGGAAAGAAACTATAAATTGACAATGTCAACTTCCTAGAAAGAAGATTTCTATAAAATGTTTTATAGATGGCACTTGCCACCAGCAAGATTAGCAAAATGTTTAAAAATATGTCAGAGAGGTGTTGGAAATGTAAACATAAGTCAGGCACGTATTATCATGTTTGGGTGAACATGTGATAAAGCAAAGAACTACTGGAAAAAGATACATACTTGGTTAGAAAAAGTGTTAGGAGAACATGTCGATTTTAAACTAGAAAAGACTAATAAACAAAGCTTATATTTGAACGTTATAACAGCGGCAAGAATCACATTTGTCCAATATTGGAAGAATGAAGAAGTACCATCAGATGAAGAAATAATTTTTAAAAATGCTAGAATGCACAGACATAATAAGTACCTGACTTAACGTTTACATTTTCAACATCTATCCGACATATTTTTAAACATCCCAGTTCTTAAGACAAACTTTTCAAGCCATATTTTGTGACCAAATTTGCTCTAGTGTTAAGTAGCGCGTAGAAAGTCTGTGTGGTGCTTCGGACACAGCTTTGAAGCATGAACGTAGCAGCAGTCTAGAAGAGGGACCCCCAACACCTGGGCCTGGGCCCACTAGCGGGCCTTGAGCTCTGCAGGATCGGGCTGCAGAAGTGGTGGGCCAGTGCGGGCATGTCCGCTCACATCCCCACTTGCATGGGCAAGCACACTCCATTTGCACAAGCGGCGGGCACGTGTGCTTGCCCCTTGCACTAATAATACTAATAAAGTTGGAAGGGACCTTGGAGGTCATCTAGTCCAGCCCCCTGCTCAGGCAGGAAATCCTATACTATTTCAAACAAATGGCTGTCCAGTCTCTTCTTAAAAACGTCCAGTGTTGGAGCATTCACCGCTTCTGGAGGCAGGTGGTTCCACTGGTTAATTGTTCTCACTGTCAGGAAGTTTCTCCTTAATTCTGTGTTGTTTCTCTCCTTGATTAGTTTCCATCCGTTGCTTCTTGTCCTGCCTTCAGGCGTTTTGGAGAATAGCTTGACTCCCTCTTCTTTGGGGCAGCCCCTGAGATACTGGATCACTGTTATCATGTCCCCCCTTGTCCTTCTCTTCATTAAACTAGACATTCCCAATTCCAGCAACCGTTCCTTATATGTTTTAGCCTCCAGTCCCCCGATCATCTTTCTTGCTCTTCTCTGCACTCTTTCTAGAGTCTCAACATCTTTTTTACATTGTGGGGACCAAAACTGGATGCAGGATTCCAAGTTTGGCCTTACCAAGGCATTGTAAAGTGCTATTAACACTTCACGTGATCTTGATTCTGATCCTCTGTTAATGCAGCCCAGCACTGTGTTGGCTTTTTTGGCAGCTGCAGCACACGGCTGGCTCATATTTAGGTGATTGTCCACTAGGACTCCGAGATCCCTCTCACAGTTGCTACTATTGAGCAAGATGCCACCTATACTATACCTGTACATTTGGTTTTTCTTGCCTAAATGTAGAACCTTACTTTTTTCACCATTGAATTTCATTTTGTTAGATAGTGCCCAGTGTTCAAGTCTGTCCAGATCCTCCTTTATCTTAAGCCTGTCTTCTGGAGCTGCACTTGCCCTTGCCCATCACTCGTGTTGGACCGTCCCCTCCCACCCCCAGCTGGTCCCTAAAACTGGAAAGGTTGAGAAACTCTAGTTTAGAACGCCTTAAAAACAGCCACATTGCTTTCATGGGATTCTGCTGTCACTTCCCAAGCCAGCCCTCACACACTCCAGAATCCGGAGCTCTGGACAAACTGTAGGAGATAGGCCAGTCCTGAAGGATCAACTCTTTATGTCTCATTCCTAAACTTACTCAC